AAAAAAAAAAAAAAAAATGCATGGGTAAATATACACAGACATCTGTGAGGCTAAACCCGAAAATGTTAGCCGTGGCTACTCCTCAATGGTGGGGCCATTTCCTTCCCTTCCCTTCTATAGCTTCTGGCAACAGGCACCTGTTACTCTCCTAATCAGAAAAGCAATCAAGCTCTCTAAAAAGAGAGTAAATAAGGGCATATAAAGGGCAGCACAAGCTGACCAGACAGATGAGGGAAACAGAGACTTGTGCACAGCATCCTGTACTCAAGTGAGCAGCCCTGCTCTGAGCTGGCAGTGAGCAATCTGTGAGGATGGCTCAGCTGCCAGACATCCCATCCCATCTCAGGCCTCGAGGAGGCCACCAAATCCCTCTTACTTAAAGGGCAATAAAGCGGGAGCACCTGAGCACACGAGGACCTGGACATGGGAAAGTGGTTTCTGTGGAGGAGGTGGGCAGGGAAAGGAAACAGTTTGGAGAGAAAACTGGCCAGCAGCTAGTTAGGCTGTTAGCAGTTAGGTGGTGGCTCTCTCCTTCTAGGAAGAGGGGCCTCCACCACTGGCCAGCAACACAGAGCCAGACCACTCATCACTCTAAATGCCCAAATTAGTCACTTGGCTGCATATTCACAGCCAGGCACCAGGTTTGCTTGGCAGCCCGGCCTGTCTAGCTGTGTTTGCTGCAAACGGAGTCCTGTGTGAGCCAGAGCAGGTACCACTTGTTTCCCACACTGTCCTCCCTTCACCAAGACATGCGTGCCCAGCCGTGAGCCTGAGACAGGGACCCTTGCCTAGCCTGCAGTATTAGCCCCTGAACTCCCAGTGCCCACTTACAAAAGCACTCACAGCCTACTGCCTACACACAGTGCCTAGACCCAAGAAAGAAACAACTAGGGAAGGAAGGGACTCTGGGCACTATATTGCTAGGAAGAAACCAAGGGAGGGCACTGCTACCACAGAGTATATGCAGAGACCTGGGCAAGGTCTTGGTTGGCTACTTATTAAAACCTCAAGTGATAGAAAAGTCTTTTGAGCCTCAGTTCCTTCATTTAAATAATGGAAAATAATCACACCTCAAGGGGATATTGTGGCAATTAATATGGTAAAGCACAGAACGTCTTCGATTCATGGTGCTGTTGTCATTAGCTGTATAAACCTTGGGTATGACACTTCACTCTCCTGACCTTTAACTTTTCCTCACCTATAAAAAGAACTGTTGTGAAGAGAGACCATGTACATAATAGGTGCTCAATAAATTACAGCCATCATTATTACTGCTGCAAGCTAGAGGCACAGCAAAGCAATTTAGGAAGTTTCCCCAAAAACCATGAAAGAAAACGAGAATTAGCTGATGACCCCAGAACTGCTTGGAAGGGGTTCCTGACCCAGTCACTATTTGGACTTCTCTAATCAAATCCTAAACCTGATTGTGTATAAGAGCAAAGAATGGTCACCTAAGGTGAAAGCATCTAAGTGCCCAAGGGAGAGGATGCTGGGAACACGACTGCCCTTGCTGCTGAGGGTAGACACTGGTGAGCCATCAACAGAGGGCAATGGGGTAGTATCTACCAAGTAATAAATCACTCTTCTGATCCAGTTACTCCCTTTCTAGCAATTTATCCTGCAGTTGCACCTGCACACAGGGGCCATACACTGCAGCACACTATGGTAACAAAAGCCTGGCCACAACTCGAGGCCGCAGAGGACAGGTTCAGTGACTCTACTGCTCCTGTGGTGGATACTAGAGAGCTGAAGAAACGAGGAAGGAAACTATGTACTGACCGGGAAACAGCCCCAGAAGACACTGTGAAGTGAAAAGGTATACTGTATTGCATACAGATTTTATACTACCTTGAATTTTCAACCCTGTGAATATAAAATACCCATTGAACAAACAGAGCCTACACCTCTGTTGCTCACATGCTGTAGCTACAGCGACGGAGGCAGAGGTCTGCAGGATCTGGCAGAATGTGGCAAAGGAGGCTCTCCTCAGGGCTTTCGGTCTCAGTAAAGCACTTCCCCAGCTTAAGGCAAATAAGCAGACATTTATCAATCCAGGCCAAACTAACAAATGCGGAGACCAACCTGACAAAGTCTTCAGGAAGCAGGTCAGGATTAACACCCAGGGAGTCAAGCACATCATTTCGAATCTGGAGCAACAGCTCAGAATCTTCCCCAAAGGTATCGCAACTTGGGTCTCTTCCCTTATCCGTGCGGAACTTTAGGAGCACTGGGAAAGGAAAACGAAGGGAGGTTAAAAAGCAAGTCTTTTGTAATAAATGCTTATAGATGTTTAGAATTAAAAAAAAATTTCTTTCATTCTCTAGGAACTATACATTAATTAACGTGGGCCAAGCGAAAGGTAATACACTTTTCATTTATTCAACAAATACAGTCAGGAAGGCAATCAAATTATTACCAAATAACTACAATGACTGTGATAAGTGCCAGGATAGTAGACCAGAGGGTCTGATATCCACAGGGTGTGGCAGGTAAGGCTTCCCTGAGGAAGCCATGACTGACTGAAGTGTGTGTTTGGGAAGAAGGGGGAAAGCTTCCAGCAGAGGGAAAAGATCTGATTCTGACCCAGAAGAGGTCAGGAGCGGGAGGCATACAATTTAGGCATTAGTTCAAAGGGCTCCTTCAGCCAGAAAGGCCAGCCAAATGCTCAGACTCATCAGACAGGCAAGTCATTACAAACAAAACCTCCCTTAGTACAGCAATTAGGTCAATCTCCAGAAACGAGTGTTTAATTTTGGTTTTGAACCAGAGAAAGGCTGAGATGATGGCAGCAAAATCAGAGCTACTGTGAACAAGACCCTAACATGGTTTGAATTTTAAACCAATCAAAAACCAACTCCCTTCTACTACCACTACTCCTGTCCACAACGTTCACTGCGTGCCTGTTGGGTGGCATACTTGTTCCCCACGTGCTCCCCAAAGCAGGCATGCAGCCAGTCTCGAGGGCACTACTCCTCCCCCATCACACAAGTGGTGTGTATCAGCGGAGAGAGAGACACGTGGATCCCTGGGTGCTCTGGGATAGCACTTCATACCTGCAGGGGACTTTACAGTTTACAAAGAGCTTCCACTTAAGTTTCATCATTATTTCCTGACTAAAAAAGTGAACTTATTCAGCAAATTATACTATCAGTACAAGGGGCTCTTCCCTAAAAACAAAGGTGATTGAAAACTCAGGTAATTAATTGCTGTGAGGCTCTAAAAATGCATTTGGGGGGAAAAAAATGCATTTGGAACCCACCCCAGATTAAGAAACGAGTCCTTCTTTCTACTTGTTTTCTTAAGGCTCACAGACAGTTTTGGTGATGAGCAGCCTGGATTGAGAACCACTCTCCAAGAAAGAGTACAAATTCATTCCCTCAACCAGCAAAACCGAGCAGTCACTGTGTGCCCCGCAGATCAAAGCACTGAAGGTACAAGGGTAGGTGAGCGAGTCTCGGTGTCTGCACATATGATGGTGATGGGGAGCAACAGGGAATTTAGGAGTCACAACAGAAGGCACCAAGCCTGAGAAAAGTTCATAAATGAGTTATATAGTATTCCAAGAAGATCCCAAACCACAGAGGCCCAGGTAAAAGAAGACACAGCCTGCTCTGGGGCTATGCCTTTCTCAGACCCAGTGTTTGTTTCTCTAGCAACTTTCAAGTGCCCAGTATACAGCTCTGCACATTAGAGGCTTAAAAAAAACAGGACACCTGTTTTGAACAGTTTGCCGTCTGGAAATATGACTCTCCTCTTTTTCAAGAACACAGCTCCTAGAACCCTGAATTGTACCTGACCACTTGGCAGCCAACTCAAGGCCAATGACCATTTGGATGCTGCTAAGCTGATCTGCCTTCACCTCAGCTTAGCTTCTACCTCTGCAGATGTGTTGCTGGAATTCCAATCTGGAGTAAATAAATGCAATCACAGAAGCATTTGGGGGCAGGGTAGAGAAGAAACTGCAGAAGAGGCAATTAATCCCTGTTTAGACCAAGCCTCGTTTCCAACAATGTCCTATGAAGACAAAGGAATCTGGAAATCTGCTAGTCCAGCCAAAGCAGAGGATACTCCAAGGGTGTTACTACATCGAATGTCGGTGCTACTCCTGTCAACTGCTCCTGACAGGACACAGAAGGCGTGTCAGTGCTGCCTGAGCAGATGACGGAGGCAATGCCAGGTGCAGTGGCTCATACTGCACAATCTGAGACCCAGTGGCCACCACGTGGACAGTGAGTGAGGCTGCTTAATTTCAGGCTGTCAGAGTGGTGGACAGCAGCAGGGGCCCCACATGGTGCTGCCTGTGAAATCTTCTAATTTCTATGTCACTGGGACAGAAGCATTAACTGTCACAAGGGATGAAGAAGAGAGGATCATTTTTGCAGCCCTCACCATAAAGCTTTTCATCTTTTGGTTAAATATAAGCTCTCAGAGAAAGCTCAAACCATCACCATAATAGCAAAACCAACAGTACCTACTATGTGCCAGAAATCATTCTAAACTTTCTTTCTTCTTTTTTTTAAAAAACATATTTTTATTGATTTCAAAGAGAGGGAGGGAGAGGAAGAAAGAGAGATAGAAACATCAATGATGAGTCATTGATTGGCTGCCTCCTGCATGCCCCTGACTGGGGATCAAGCCCACAACCTGGGCATGTGCCCTGACCAGGAATCGAACTTGATCTCCTGGATCCTAGGCCAATGCTCAACTGCTGAGCCATGCCCAGCCGGGCCATTCTAAACATTTTCATACAGTAACACTCATCCACAATAACCTGGTGAGGTAGGTCGCCCTATTACTCTCCCTACTTTATAGATGAAGAAACTGAAGTTCAGAGAGGTTAAGTGGCTTGTTCAATGTAACTGCCAATAAGTATTCAAGCAGAAATGCCAACTCTGGCACTCAGACTGTGTGCTTCTTAACCCTAATCGAATCCAGGAGAAATGGCAGGACCATCAGGAATGCAGCCCCAAGGATTCCAAGTGGTCTGGCTCTTTGCCCCCCACCTCAGGAGGACTCCCATTCAACCACATTTTTATGCATTTATCCAGATAGGTCCTGCCCTCTCTCAACTGGTCCATTAATTTGAAGTTAATTCAGTGGGTGAGAAGTAGAGGCAGAGGCCATACGAAACCCTGCCCATTAATCTTCAGAGAGTAAGACCAGTCTCATCTCAGAAAGAACTAAGATGGCACTAAGAGGAGGAGTGAAGGCAGCCAGCAGCTGGGTCCCGCTGTTTCTCTGGGCCCCTTGCCTGCTCCTGGTGCAGGCCGCCTGGATGAGGGCCGGCAGGCTGGCACCGTCCAGATACCTCGCTGACCACATCTGAAGTCCTCTCAGGGCCTCTGGGAAGGAGGCCAGTCAGAAGGCCACTTATTTGCAGCAAAGCAAACAGAAGCTGTATTTTTCACTTTGTCGAATGTCAGCACTCCAGTTAGCGGGGGTGGGAAGAAGCCCATGCTCTAGACAGGCAGCAGCCTCAGAACTGACCCCAGCCCCTGACAAGTTTTTGCTTATTAAATTCTCCTCTTTGTTCTGCTCTCCACCCCTTCCAAATAGCTAGACACACACACATCACTGTTGACTCTGCATTTCTGAAGAGCACCTCCCCACCAGCTTCCAGATTATAAAACTGTTCCATTAAGATCAAACATCTTCAGGAGTGGAGAGCTGCTCTGCCAAAGGATGACTCACTGAATCGTATCAAAACAGTGCACAAAATTAGTCCCAAACTTGATTAGCTTCATCTGAACCTTTTAATTAACTCAGGTTGCTGAGGGCCAGGGAAATGACATTTATTGCTACATAAGACAGGCTTGTGTCTCTGCTGAAGTTTGCCATGTAACAAAAAGGGCAAACTTTGGAGAAACCAAGCACCTTTTCATGTATTAGAAGAAAAACTATGCACATGCGAATAACTGCTACTTCTGCAAAAAGAAATTAACTCAAGTTCAAATTTAATCTGAATCAGAATAACAGATTACTGTTACTACAGGAACTTGGAAAGCAGTATTATTAATCACTGTATTTCTTTTGAAAAATATCTTATTGCATTTAAATAGTGCGACTATATTGAGCATAATCACTAAGGCCATTGGGGGAAAAATAAAGTCAATGTTGCAAATTAGCACCAACTCTATTACTGTCCCTCAAAACAGCTCAATTAAGGGAGGGAAAGCCAAATGTAAATCTCATTTGCCTGACGCCCAAAGCTTTCCGTGTCACACACCCCTGTCCCCCAATCTCTGGCTCACTCAGAAGAGCCATTCCCTCTGGGAACATCCTGGAAACCAGCTCTACTCCTGGGTTACATAAACTTCCAAGAAACTGAGAAGTAGTTATCCTCTTTCACAACTGCCTATCTTCTAAGGCAAAACAATAGGTCTGACATTCAGTCAACTGTTCATTCAATAAATATGTACTGAGAGCTGACTTTGTGCCAGGCCTGAGCTGGGCAGGGAAGAGCAAAATGCACACTCTGCTCCCACAGAGCATTTAGTGAGGGGGGCAAACCCAAACTACTTACAAAATAACAGAAGATGGGAACAGAAGAGGAGCTCTGAGAGTGTATGAGGGAGGAACAGGGCAGTCTCACTGAGCAGCCAGCTCCCTACCATGGGGCAGGACCACCTCCTCTTCGTGGACCCCCAGCCCAGAACACTGCTGCCCCATTCTTTCTCTCTCCCCAACGGCTCACAGGCTCCCTAAGGGCCCACTGCGCCTTCTCCCTGAGAAGCGCTTCCTGGAAACTGGCAGGCAGCAGACTGCAGAAGTGAGGAGCTCAGTTCTGGAGCCAGACTGCCTCAGCTGGATCCCCTATTTTTCCACTTACTGTCACCTTGGGCAAGTGACAATGTCCCTGAGCTTCCTCTATAAAATAAGAATCCTAAAAGCACTTACCGTGAGGGATTTAAGGGTTAAGTGAACTAATCCATGTAAAGCACCTAGGACAGCCTGTGTACGGTGTAAGGACTCAGTCAACGCCCTGCTCCAGGACTGTGGCTACTCTCTCCCAGTTTCCATAAACCCAGTTCACCGGCCCTGGAGCCGACATGCTTGTTCATGGTGAAATTCCTCGTTTAACCGAGTTACCACCACTAGCGCAGCTGTGAACTCTGGGATTACAGTGACTTGGAGACTGACAGACACTTTCGGCACCCACTCTCTCCCTTCATGGCTCTTAATCTCAGTTTGTGATCTTACACTCATCTGTGTAAACTCACTTGTACA